GGGTTCCGTTACTGAGGACAGAGGAAGAAACTCTTGGGTCTGGAACGGCAGGTGGAAGAGGGAATGAAGTTATGGGCGATGTGACATGAACGACGCGATCGAGGGCGTGAAGGTAAGAGGGAAGAGAGCGGTGGTGTTGAGTGGGATTTAAGAGGAGTTCGGATAGACGTTGAATTGTATGAGGTGGGTGAGTTGGGAATTGCTTGTTCAATGTATTTTGGATATCGAGAAGTTGCTTGTAGCAGATTGGTGGAAGAGATTCTAACGACGGTTGGGAGGCAGTAAAGGGGTCTTCGGTATTGGTATCGCGTTTGGGGGAGAGTGAAGGCGAGGAGGGGCGAGGGTGTGTTGAAGGTTTGGGAATTTGGAAATCGGTGATGACAATCTGAACTCGTAAATTAGCTATCGGCGCATGATATAGGATTGTTAGAAAGCAATTCAAATCAAAGCATACCTTTTCCAATCTGGTCATCAACCTCTCAAGTAAACTCGGCCATGTCGAGCTATAACCCAAATGTCAGTATAGAATCCACGATACTTCGCACTCCTGGCGATCGTAAGTATGCGCAAAACATACTAATCAATAGATTGGCCATGTGCGAGTGTCCTTAATATCTCATCATCATTATCAATATCCATTTTTAGTGTTTGCGACAAGATTGAATGTTTTGTAGGTTGATTTGATTTGTTAGATACTGAGATTAGTAGGCGCGTTTGATAGTGATAAGTGGTCGGTTAGCGTTGTGGTGACGCGATTACGATTGGGGGTGATAAAGTCGAGAAATTTTGGCGGGAAGGAGCTTGGGCCGTTGATGGAATGGAGGGGAGGTAGAGTGAAAGCTGATCAGGTGGAACTGGGAGGAATTATTTTCCGGATTCAATGTTAACAATCAAATTGGTTATGATATGACTAAATTTGTATGATATTGACTGTTGTTATGAACAATCAGAGGTATGGATTGATATGTGTTTCTCTATAACTAAATCCTCCAAACCTTTGACACCTCCCCTACAAACAAACAATTCCGAACGCTCTGAGAGAAGGACTTATCTTCCCCCCTTTTCGCGAACCGATGGTGTTCCAATGGAGCGTTACCGATCTGTTTTTATGTGCTTTTCCGATGTGAGACACCAATATTTAGATTGGACTTGAAGGTTTTATTTGGTATGTTAGGATCCATGGCGAGATACTCTTCAACTCAATACTTCGGTTTGAACTGCACAAGAGACTATACGACAGAAGTTGAATGGGACATCGAGGAGTGCTCTGAGAGCCGTTGCCCAATACGAAAGATTAGTATCCCTTCGATCTGTCCAAACGGTGACCCATCAAAGTCATCTCGCCTGGCTCAAATTCAATGATCAAATGGTCCTTCAAGTTCTAACTATGGTAAATGAATCGTGACTCAAATCCAAATAAGAAGTCAATGTAGCAACAGTCCTCAAATTTATAGTACAGACTTGATAATTAAATGGCTTTTGTATCAAGTCGGATGTGAATAATTTCATCCATCGCGGGGTCTAGGAGGTGGGCACAGTAACGTGGGCTTGTGAAACGATGAACCTCCCTATAGCCCGAGTAGCCATGAAACTGAGGGACGCTTTACTAAGGAATGACGAACATTCAAATGGTCTTATGAAATCATTCGACATATCAAAGCCCGGTTCTTTCAGCTTTCTTCAAAAATTGAAGTATGCCTTGAGCCTGCTCTAGCATAACTTTCAGATCAACGTCGATGCAATACATGGAGCAAACGTGGGAAGGCAGGATTCTTTCATGTGGAGAATGAGGGCATAAATAGCATATGCATGCATTAGACATCTCTCGACTCTCGAGCCTCTCCATCTTGATCGGCCGTTGATATCAATCAGCCTTAGAACACTGCCTCACTGATCCCACCACGTGCCCACCTGGAAATTAACCTTATAAGTTATCGTTGGTCAAGTTAGCCCAAAGGTCTAGAATCCACGGTTGCATGGCAATCTTGGTACCCTCCCGACCGCGGAATACACTTAACTCTATCCAGCTCATTTGAATCACATTCGTAATAGAATTTCCATGAACGGGACCAAAAGATTCTCAAGTACTATACCCAATACGCACATATCCACTTTAAGATAAATTGGTTGGTGGAACGATACACGTATGCCTGGATTTTCGCCTAGCTCCAGCAACCCTCGTTCAACGAGTATATAATGCCAACCTCCCTCAATTCTCTTGCTCTCTTCTTTCCTTTCTCTTCATACTTACCTTGTTGAAATGGCCGTTGATCAAGCATAACGGCGTTGCGATACGAGTCCTCCATTGCACATCGGGGCGACGAGAATCGTTCAGTTACCTTCGGGTACCTGATCGGCGGAATTTTTGATTGCACAAACCTTCGTGGATACTTTCTTTTCATTGAGATCTTGGCTTAATGCTGGGACTTGAAGAAGAAGAAAAAGAGTTTTGAAGAGCAGGTAGCGAGTGTTGTGGTCATGTTTTAAAGAGGTCAACAGAAGATCTGATTCAACAACGAATGAGCTCGACCAATGAATTTGTTGAAGTGTGGTCATGTCGAGTCGTCTGTCTCTCCGTGTTGTGGAAGTGTGATGTCTTGAAACAAATGTATACCATTGCCAAGATGAAAAATGGTTTCACTCAAGAATGAGAATGATTAGATGGTATCCTGTCACCTGAGCTCTTCCACGCATTCCAACCCAAACTCCGTCTTGGAGTATCATCACTCCGGCATTTATTGATGTATCAGATTAATTGTAAAGTTCATCTCTTGATTAAAACAAGATCCATATAATAAAGTTCATCACAAGAAGAACAAAACTAGATATGCAGTCTTCCAGTTCGTATTGGCTTTGCTGTCATGCACATCCAATCCTCCTCATATGCATTGTGCTGCGAAACATAGATCAGATGTAAACAATGATTCGTAGAAACAGCGATGGAAATAGAAAACAACAGGAACACCAAGATTCATACTGTAATGATCACGTTAATCATTCCACTTTTGAACTCTAGCTAGGCAAGGTATGCTATGTATGCCATGCCACCATTTTCTTACCTACATACGTTCATTCAACAATTATGCCGCAGTTTCCGAGAGTAGCCAGCCATATTTTCATCTATCGCATATCGCTGAGCCTCACTCCCTCCAAGGACTGCGCCCACTTCTCCAGGATTGAACAGTACACCAGCCATTCTATACCAGCAATGTTGTAGTAAGTGATGATGATGACTTCATTGCTGAATGTTTTGGGGCTGGTGAAGTATGGGCTGTCCAAAGTTCTGATCCAAAGTTCTGATGTGATAGATGGATAAATGAGGCGATGGGAATCTGAAATCAGTTATATAGATGTAAATAAAGTAATTTCCCCAAGAATGATTTTACCATGACCAGGTACGAGGCACACACACACAGAGACACACACACACACACACACACACACACACACACACACACAGCAGACGGCATACATGATACAACAGACACCAACAACAAACACAACCCAAAATTAATACGAAATCATTCATTCAGGGTTCAACGCTGCCCAGCCTTATGAAAGATTGACCACTTTTTGCTCCGTATTGATAATATTGACCTGAGTACGGGGGATTGTGGGTTTGTATGCAACGTTTGGATAACTAGGTTGGAAAGAATATAGCGCCAAGTCCCTGGAAGTTTCAGCGTTATTCGTGGTTAGTAGTTGACCCAAGGCCAGGTTAAGCCCAGGTTAAGCCCATTTTAAGCCCATTTTATACTGCACATGCCCCAGCTGATACCCAGTTCAGGATGTAATAAATAAATTGACATTGTTCATTTGCGATACCTCCTCTCCTGGACTCACTGGTACCAAAGAGTGAATTCAACAAATAAGAAGAAATCAGAATCAGAGATCAGAAATAACCCATTCAACCGTTTAAGGAATTCCCATACGGATACGACACTGTCCATACTACTCTACCGGTACACTCTCCTCTACTCTATCGGTACACTCTCCTCTACTCTACCCTACCCTGCCCTACCCTGCTCTACCCTACCTCCTACCTTTTACCTCCTGCCTCCTACCCAGCTAGTCTTCCCATCCCTTCATCTCTAAACACGACAACACTCAAAGGGAAAAAAATCACGCCCATTCACTCAGACCTCCTCCCTTCTATACGACGTATCCTATCCTATCACATCCTATCTATCTCTCTCTATCTATCTACCGAAATCTCTCTCTCTCTTCCTCTCCCTCTCCCTCTCCCTCTCCCTCTAATCCCTCCATCATTTTATACGCTCTTCCTCATCCCTCCCATCCACATCCACATCCACCTCTCCACCCTCCAACAAATCCATCCGACCTTCCGCAAACCCTAAATTCATATTCAAGAGAAGAAGAAAAAAAAGGGAATCATTCGTTATCCAACCTCCTATCGATCCCTCTGCCAATAAACTCCTACAATTCACACTCGTTCACTCGTTCGCCCTTCCTTCGATTGATCGGCTTCCTTATACGACCTTCACTTTTTTATCACCCGCGATCGTTTCTAGAATCCCTACTGACTTCCAAACCCACCTCTGAAAGATCTCAACGCCACACTCTTACCGTTTCACCATTGGGTCACACCTTATTCATACACATAACGAACCAAACACAACAGACGGCCGTTGATTCATTTTTGTCCCATCCATCCATTTGATAGACTAGCATATCCCCAGTCTCCATCGACATCCAATATTCTCTTCTGCTGAGACCCCCGCTCTCAGTGCATGAATTGATTCAACCTTTTCGCAAACTATCCGTCCTTTTTCTTTCATTCCACGACAGGTTTAAGTCATTCACTCCTTGGCTCCTGTTAAGGAGCCTCAAATACCGCCGAAGTGGCTTTCAGCAAAGACTCTCGAAAGTCCCTGCTTTCTCTTGGTCAGGGACCATATGAACAGGACGCTGGAGGTTATTTTCATCGTGAAGGACTCGCATCAGGACCCAACGCGATATCATCAGCAAGAAAAGAGAAGATGTATCTCCCAAATACCACATGGACGTGGGCCTTCATGATTGCCGCAACCGTACAAGCCGCCGCAGTTCTAGCAATTGAATCGTAAGTCTTCCAACAATTGGGAAAGAATTCGGCGTCGCGGTTTCGGTTTCATTTACTAATATGTATCCCTAGGTATGTGTTCGCAAAATTCCAAACCAGTCTGGTCAAAGGCAAAGAACAAATAGCTCTCGATCGAACAATTCCAACCTACCTTACGCTATTCATTTTCGGTTTCCTTTATCAAGTTGTTCTAGTATACGATTCTTTACGACTCAAAAATACAATTCAGGTCATCGGTCTTTGCATGTACAATGGCGGAATGCTAATATATGCCTCCATTCAATACGATCAAATTCAAACAGCGGTTGAATCTTTGGGCGACCTTGGTTATGTGGATGAGCACGCAAATGTCTGGCCGGATGTGCAAGGGCTTTTGGTCGCAGTTCCATGTATTATCGCTTTCTTCTCCATATTGATGTCATTCATAGCCTGGAAACTTTATGACGAATTTGCCTGGACGATTTACAAACACATTAGCGCTGATTTGCGTATGAAGCGCAGATTCTTGACCTACCAAGTAAGTCGAACGATGTTGCTACTTTGACTTCACAAATACTAACAAATTCAGATTTACATTGCCCTGTTGAAATTCGATTTCTTCTTCTTCTTGGGATTCACAGTTCAATTTCTAGTTATCGTTACTGGTGTACAAGATTTCGAATTCGGTTTGACAATAGCCGCCGTTCCCGTTACCATCTTCATTTTATTCATGGCCGCCTTCTGGACTCGACGTGAAAATAAACCAGGAATGCTCTCGGCCATCTTCATCTTCCATTGTGGTCTGGCCTACTTTATCTTCAAACTTGCTCGAATGTACCAACCGGCCAAAGCTGCAGACTATATGCCAGTTCGTAAGAATTTGACCAGTTTCGCCGTCATCACAATCATTTTGATTATACTAACCATCGCGAACGCTTCTTTATGTACGGCAAACTTCAACAAAGGTCTAAAGCCGCATTTGAGAAGACGAAAGATCGGTGGTGAAGAGGAGAAGATTGATCACATGACTGAATTGCCGGATCTCAATAATTCTCACAAACAAACGAATCGGATGACGATAGATTAAACCAACAAAAAAAACTTGTGGATAAAAAAGCGGCATATAACTTCGAGATATCTGGTTACATATTTCGGAATTGGATCAAGGTTGTTTTGGACGGAATGTACACTGGGACGACTATGACATTGGGTTTTCTTTTTCTTTCTTGTCACTTTTTCTTTATTCCCTTTTTCTTTTTTTTTATGCAACTTTTATTGAGATAGTCCTTTTTGAGCGAAGATATTTAAGCTTGCCTTGTCTTGGTCAACACGGCTGGCAGGCAGGTAAAGGCATTCGAGGAAACGAAACCTCACTTCATACCCGGGATCGATGGATATTGGTTGGTTGGCGTTTGAAGGGCGTACTATGTGAATTTTTGTGTTAGGAATGGCGCAAGTGTTTACAAGGCAAGATTCAGATCGAATCGTGTGATGGTTGGATGATTGGTCTTTAGGACTATTATTCTGAATTGGATCGACTTGCTGAGCAGGAAAATCCTTTTTGGCGGAGATAAAAAGAGGCAGAGAGCACAGTAGCATAGCATTCAGTGTCTTGCGATGTGATGTTTGCATATGAAAGCGCTAGCAAAGCGAAAGAGATCTTTTATGGATGTAAAAGGGGAAGGAAGTAGGGAGATGGGCGAAGTGAATGAAAATTATGGTCTTCAACATACGTCTAATGATCTTTGGTGCTTTTTAGTTTACGTGATTGTTATCCCGGTTTTAAAAGAATGGCCTGCATATGATAGAGGATGGCATATTATCATATTTTGCCTTTCGTCTACTTGTCCCCTGATGACAAAAGGGGGGTTTGGATCCATGTTGATCAAGAATGAGATGATCCTCTATACTGTGTTGAGTGTATGCAGTATACCTACTACTGGACAATTTAATCCATGCTTTCTTACTCACTAGACAACATCTTTGCTAAACGCTTACTTTGATTGAGAGGATTCTTTTGGGGTGGGATTGTGAGTTTGGGTGAAGGTGTGATGGTGTGATGGTTGTTCTTTGTAGTATGGATGTTGGTCGTTGGGGGAGGGGGGAGGTGATTTTGTGGAAGATATCTAGTCTAGCCTAGCATGGACTTGAACTTGGATTTGAGACTTTGCTGGATGTTTCTGGGGGGTGAAATGGGATGAGAAGAGATGAAACTAGTCATTGTCAAGGTTGTTGGTTATCGCTTTTTGGTGTTCGTAGGTGTGCTGTTGTCGAGGTGGTATGGTATGGTGTGGTATGGTATGGTAGGTAGGTAATCGTGGTCACGTCTTTGTCGCTATTTTCTTCGGATTCTGGCGTACGAGATGTGGGTTTTCAGGGGGAAGTTAGTGTTGCATTTGCAGTGGGTAGAGTGTGAGTGTGTTGACTCTATTTGTAAATTGATCTGTTGTGCGAGTGCGACTCTAAGTGGTATATTGTATGATTGCGGTTTTGGAAGGGTGTGTGTAGTACGTGTGCGTTTGCTATGTTTGTCTGTAGCAAATCTTCGAGGATGATTTGCAGTTGGTTGAGGTTTAGTCGGTGAGTGATTTGATGCCTTACTAGTGGTATTTATTTGTAGTAACACATAGATCGGGATCGAAGATGGAGTGATGCAGAGTTGTCTGGTTGTGTCTTTTTTGTTTTTTCCTCTTTGATCGCTTCGCTTTGTGTGTTTATTATCATCTTCCTTCCTTCCTTCTCTTCACTTGTTTTTTACCTTGCGAGAAAGTACTCGGGGATTTGTACTCGATTCGCTCTTTGATAACGGAGCAATTGTGAAGTGTAAATAAAGGATCTAGGATTATCCTCTTTTTCGTAGCAGAGTAAGAGGATGTTACACGAACTACAGCTACTGACTAAGAAGATTGAGAATTCCTGGAAGTTATTGGTGAAATCTTGGATGGATAATCGTAGGGTGTGTGGTCAGTTCTGTGTGCGGATTAGATGCCATTGGAAGGGGATATGATGTAATGACAATAATCAAGTAGTGACTAGTGAAGTATTTATGTTTTGACTGTCGTCGAAGATGCAAATATTCGTTATTGATGACTTTGATCATCTCTTCCATCTTCAAGAACTGAATAACATGCAATTATATCAAATTTGCACGTGAGAACTCGTACATGATGTCATGTCTCTCAACTCAATAGATCTCTATGCTCTATTTTTGGCTAGCGAATACAGACGCGTTTCGACGATGTAGTTCCGCTCATAGATTGTTTGCTTGGTATCTGTGGTTGATAGAGGTTCTTTATATTGATGAAAAAAATTCCGAAGGAACTGTGGAGGTTGGTGAGTGAACATAAGCGTGTGGCGTTTACTTTCGATGTTGTGAAGGAGCGTTGAAGTTGGTATCTACCCCCCTTCTGCATTTCGGTGTAAGTAGGATTCTATATGGTACAAGAATGATGCACTAGCTTTAATTATCTTCCTCAAATTATTCTCAGCTCGAACGTATTCAAGTCTGATACATCCTATCATACTGAGAACTTCTCATTAATTCTTGTAGAACAAAGTTCGAAGATGTTCCTTTCCTGAATCAAGAAAGACCTTACGGTAGAGACGATTAATCTTGTGTGCTGTCAAGATCCAAGGATCAGATGTATCAATACCAACACTAACTACTCCTTGATCCGTCAATACAATTAATAGTCTCTGCCATCGACGAGCTAAGGGTACAGTACGCAGTATTCACGGAAGCATTCCTATGACTTGAAACCCTAAGTTGAATAATAAAAAATACAGTCTGTTCCTGGCCTGAACAATTTTTGCTGTTGTCAGTTCATCTTGCTGTTACATTCTGCTATCACTGTTACCCCCTCGCTTACATTTTTTGTCATCGCTAAGATAGGTCCAAGAGCACACGGATAGTGTGGAGGCGTCGCAAAGTAGATGGACATGAAGCACACTATCCATATTCATAAGAATACATCAGGATTCTATTTGGTACCATCTCCCTCAAGCACCCTCCCTTGCTCTCTATCTTCTTCAGTTTGGTCATTTGGTCGTATTGACACAAGAAGGATAATATCTATATATTGTGCCGAAAAAATGTAGGGGACATGGATGGGAAAATTATACGATGGTGGCAGACCTGACCTGCGATATTCATTCCTGGAGTAGTCTGTGACTATGTTCAAATGAAGGTCAACGAGACGTTGTCGGAATTGGCTGGACCGTAATTCAGCATTTTCACATCGCTATGTCTATATCTCTTCTGTGAGTGTGCAAACATACAGACCGTCATGCAAAATCCGTTACTACCCACTTAGATACTTAAGCAAAAAGGAAGTTTCTATTCACTCGTGTATGTCGTGCCATAATGGCACGCAGAAGCGTGTTTGTGAAATCTCCAGTGACCATGATTGCAGGAAAGAAGACTGTTTGTGCCCACAATTCTAAGAGCACAAATTCTTGGTGTATGAGATGATACAGGTAGATTGGTTATTTATTGATGTCGAATTAGTCAAATGGAGGCTACGGGGAGAAGTACAGAGTATGAAAACGGCAATGTGCTTATTGATTGTTTCACTTGTTCATATTTTTTGGATGTTTTCGTCGGGAATTGTCACTGTCACTATGATTCTACAGTTCTTGGTGTCATATGACCTTGCATGTTCTCCTCTTTTCTGAAAATTAGGGTTACTATGGCAATTCCTACTGTTCATGTGCACTTCTGGCACAGATTTCAATGCAAAAGTGTTTGGACTATCGAAAAGTTCAGTTTCCAAATGATTATTGATTCCGCCTAAGCGCCAAATGGGATTCTACTCAAGAATCGTAACTGTTTTACAACAACTTGGAAGTTGAGAGATGCTTTTATATTGGGTGGCGTTATTTTGTTGGCGACGCAAAAGAGGTCGAGAGGTCGAGAGTCAGTGGATGGGTGCATTGGTGAATAGATTCTTCAAATTCACTCATCAGAATTTATGAATGTAGTTAATAAAGAAAGTGCTTGCTATCGACGTCGAGGCGACTTGAATTTGATTTGAATACTTCATCGCAATTACATACCACTAACTTAGTTTCGACACTCACACCCACGAATACCTCTTTCGAACCTAACACTAAACGGGTCGTTGTGAGCTATCGCCTAGTAGCGAGAGAATCAGGTGTTCGGAGCTTTGAGTTTTAGATTTGATATTGTTAGACCACAGCGAGAATTCGTCGCCATTTGTTTCATTTTACATTTGTCATCTCTCACGTCTTATTCCCTCCTATCTTGAGACTATATCATTAGATACAATGATGTATGATATAATGCTATAAAAAAAGCATTCTTCCGACTACAATTTGACATTAGCAAATTTAATACGATTTGCTCATTCTCCAATACGACGGTATCAACTTGATCTTATGTTCAATATGAAGATCCAGTCCAATAGCATCATATTGAACTTGAGCTTCGTAGATATAGGGGCTAGTTTTATTATGAATAGACGCTATTCTATTAGTTAGTCGTAGAAGTAGGATTGACAAAAGAGGAGCGTCGATGAATAGTTAATCTTGTGTTGTGCTCAAAGCATTGAATTTCAATGAGCATTGTCAAGTGTGTGAGATATCTTATTCAGTTCTTTCGCCCTAATACCTTATAAAGTAAGAAGCAGCTGTATAAGCACAAGGCCAGAGTGCGTCATTTGCTACTGCAGAGTAATGCATATATGTGAGTAATGTAGAGTCAAGCTAGTCGCCGGCAAACGAGAGGCGGGTCTGAATTCTTCAGTCTTAAGAAGTCCATCTAAGTATCAACAGTCAAGGGTTCACTTGATCGAGGTATTTTGTTTTCAGGGAATCATCATTCGTTGATTGAGTTCTTCCGTTTCGTTATCACGTAATTGTTGTCACTTCACCCTGTTCCGTGGAATGCTGTGTACCAATTATTGTTGCCATCTATCTCTACTTCCATCTTGTCTTATTCAATACTATACTTTTACAATCAAGACATCACTTTCATTCCAAATCACTTCTTATCACTCACTGAAGCTTTCACTATGACACAAAATCGTATCAAGAAGCTTGAGTCTCCTACGGAGCAGACGCAACGCGGCAGGGTATTCTGGAATAATGTCTCTGAAAATTGTATGAGCTAAAGATATTCATGAGAGATGTTTCTTCTGCAAATTTCTCTCTGACAGAGACACTATGTTGAGTGAATTATGTCGCGGAGAGCCAAGGTATAAGTTCGTCCTCGGCGCTTTTGCGACGAAGTATCGGGCTGATGTTAATACTCGCTTTTCAGCACACATTCTACTAATCTTGTTTGGCTTGTTATTTTGAAACTTGTGTATCGTTACATTCCATTAGAATGATATGACTATACCTCCCACGGGTGCTCGCAATGAATTCATCAAAAGTGTGACTTTGGTATTGACAAAAGCTTTTAGCTTTTGCTGCTCGACTTTGAATAGCTCTCTTGGTCATGTAGTATATTGTTTCTGCTAGGCTCAAAAACATATGATGCTAGGCCGATGTGCACACCAGGTTGTGAGACCCATGTAGCAGGATCAATGTCGATGAATCTAATCACTCTAGCTTCAAAAGCGAACCAACCCAATGAAACTACACTGCGGAGTTCGCAGTAGACGCCAGAAAACGGATGAACAGGAGGGCTTGTAATCAGTCCCCCTTCCCCCAAACAGGCCATAAAATCGCTGAGCTCGTTGTGGATTTTTTTGTCATACGTCAAAATCTCCACGAAGGATCCAGAACCCAACCCTCCTAACATATCCCATCTCCTCATCACAGAAGTGTATGTGATGATAAACCGCAACAAAAAGATCTCAAGTTGCTATCATTCTTCCATATGCCGACTTGCAGTGATCTTGAATGGATTACAGCAGTCGAGGAGAGTGACGAGTTAATCTAATGCTCCCATCACCTGCTTTGTGATTTGAATTCATTCAGTGGACCAATCCACATGGCAAACCCCACAGATCGCTGATTCTTCTTCTGAAAAGATAGATACTTATGACAGTGAGCTGAATAACTTTATTCATCGTGTTGTCATGGTCATACAGCAGTGATTGTTTGAAGATATAACCTATTCCTTATCACTTAGATTTGAGATATCGATGTGGAGAAGGGAGGGCCGTGCCCCGAGACTGTTCAAAGAGACATATTACCTTCACAATGAACAAATATATGTGATTGTTTCACGTTGATAGAATATCACGTGAGTATATGTGTGAAAGCCTCGCATTTGTCTAAACTAGTTTACAGTCCTTTCCCATTAGCTTGCGTTAAATCCCAAATTCCATTTCGCCCATCAATCTTTGCCCACAATAATAACTTTAAGCACTCTTGCCCTCCTTTCTCAACTGCGCCAAAATAGCCTCTCCTACTCCGCTAGCACTCGCAGGATTCTGTCCTGTGATAATCTTTCCTCCATTTCCCACTGTTATGTGTGGCGCCCAGTCATCTGATGCCTTTTCGAATTTGCCGTTGCTAGCTTTACCTAAAGCTGTTTCTAGCTCAAAAGGCATGTTTGAAAGACCTATGTATGCTTCCTCCTCGGTATTTGAGAATCCAGTCACCGGGGCGTTTTCAAGCAAAAATTTGCCGGATGGAAGTTTGGCATATGCAAGGGCAGCAGGGCCGTGACAGACAGCGGCGATAATGCGATCCTTGGAGTGGAACTCCGAAATGATTTTGTGAGATGTTTCGTTGTGTGCAAGATCCCACATTGCTATATATCTTTTAGTAAATTTTCTTCATATTTTGTGACGTCATTTCACAAGTGATAAAGCAAAGGACGGGGAAATACTTACGACCATGACCACCAGCATAGAAAAGAGCGTCAAATTCCGAGGCTTTGCCTACGAAGTCCGAAAGGGGTGCAGTATTCTTCCATAGAGATTCTTCATTCTTGAGGAAATTGACCGAGACGTCATCTTTAGAAGCTTCAACAGATGCGGGGTCTAAAGGAGCAGCACCACCACTAACGGAGGCGATGGTTATTTGAGCATGGGGGGAGAGAATGTCATATGGGTGAGCAAGCTCGGGCTAGAGAAGAGGAGAAATGTTAGCTATGTAGTTGTAGAGAGAACAAGAGATATGGAGGTAGGTGATATTATGTGAAAGGTGAAGGGAGACGAACAAGATACCAGCCAGTAGGCTTTCCAGTGTCACCCATTTTATCATGGGAAGTGAGGACGAAGAGAACCTTTGGCTGTTGAGTTTGAGAAGACATTTTGTTGTATATGGTAGATTGAAGTTGGATGCTGGGTTTAGAAAGAGGTGTTGGTTGGTAAGTTGTTTGTTCTTGTGTGAGAAGAGTCAAGATATGATTGCAATGAAGATGATGTTAGTTGAGTATGAGGATTTCCTGGTTTCGAAGACATTCACTCCTCTTTATACCAGTTGCCCTCACGAACTCTGTCGATTCACTTGTACAAACCTGTGTGACATGACGTGCCCAAGTTTCGGCGATAAAGACCACCCGCAGCACTCCTGCTTCAATACATCAAGCTGCACACAATTGCATCCCAAAAGGCACATCGTAAAGGACAATCAACCAAACTGTTGGAAATGTCGTGAAACTCTTATCCCTTCTTGGCACCCACATCCGATAATTTGGTTAGAAGCTCTATCAAATAGGCTCAATTACCCCTCATTGGCATCAGTGAGAGTCAATCAAATCATCTCCTGGACTCCGGAGCTGACGCTAGACCCACATGATTTATCATATCAATCTAAGCAGCCCGAACCTTAAAACCCGACATGCAAGTCTGGGAAGGATTGCTTGCTTGCTTACTTAACCATTTAAACTCCGAATAGTGGATGATGGCAAAGCGGTGATAATACCTACATGTAGGACTTGTGAGACATCAAGAATTCGATGATTTGAGAATTCGAATGAGCGAGAAAGTGGGATTGGCAAAGTATGACATCTTTCTTGGGGAGCTTCTGGATGCTTCCGATGGTTATGTTTCGAAATAGAATGCACTCAGGATCTAATCCATACCATACCACATACCTTGGGATCGTCCTTTCTCGGCAGATCTATGCTGTCATTCAAACTACGATGCACGCAGATAACCCCGAACGTCATGGACTGCAACGTCTCCTTACCCGGCAGATAAAAGTATCACGATATCGAATTTTGCAAGTTGTGGTCGGTCTCACGGCGAGGAAAGCACAATGGGTTAAATCTGTATGTTGTGTAAACAATTCACCTGGGAGCACAAAATGTAATCATCGCTCTCGCTATTTCCTGGAGAGAATTATGTACGAAGTATCTCCTTACTCTCGTTTAAATAAAACCTGAAAGAGCATTTTTGATTTGTAGGTGGAGAATCCAGAATGTAACCTTATTAATGTACGACTGCTATGTAGCTTCATTTCTCTTCATTCCATCATTCATTTCCCACATTCCGATTCATTTAAAAGAAATAGCATCGCCTTATTTACCATTCCACCGACAATCGCGTCTCATTACTTCCTATTCTCATCCTTCTCTGTTTCTTAGTTGTTTATCTTCTCGTTGGTTACTTCCTTGGCCTCTGCCTTCTTGGCTGATAGAAATTGGCTCAGCCATTGGAAGGCCTCACTTGATACGATCAATCCTGTGCTGACGACTGCCTTTCCGTAGCCAAAGTAACCCTGATCTTCCGTCTTCTTGACCTCGTTGTTGTATTTGCCCAACACATACTCCTTTCCCTCGTTACTTTTGGTTATCGGATAGAACACAAAGTATTTTCCATCACTATAGAGTTCGCCAGTAGGTTTCTTGACGGCAGGGAATCTCGATTCAATGGTGGATAGAGTAGAGTCGCCAAGCTCATCGGCTTTCGCGACGTAAGGCGAGACATATTGGTAGGGTTTTTGGAGATATGGAATGATTGGTTTGCCAAACTTCTCGTAAGAGGTTGCAGTCAGGTCGATGGATCTTTGGCCATAGGGGTTAGACTTGAAGGTAGAGATGGAGTCGTGGATGAGAGGATAAGATGTGAGATGCTAGATTTCATAAACATCAGTATCATGGCTCGAAAGGAAATCGTGGTTTGGTGGGATAACTCACGTCGAGGAAGACAGATGAGGGAGTCTCGCCGTTTACTTGAGGTGCCATTCTTTCTCAGACGTATAGGACAAACGTGGTATTATATGTGACTCTTGATGGGTACGATGTTAGCTGGGTCCTGGGTTCTATGCCACCATGATATAGCTTGTTCTAGATCAGAGCTTTATGGTCGTGCCTTGCAGAAGGCGGCAATGGCAAACAGGAGTATACATACTAGTTGCTTGGTATCTGACAATTCGTTCCTGGATGGAAATATGACTAGTATGAAGCTTTGAGTGAGAGGGGTGAGAGGGGTGAGAGATGGTGGTCAGAAGATTGAAAGTAAGTTGTTGGTCAATGAAGGATGTGTGGTGTCTAAGGTTAATAAGTGATGGAAGAGCAAGAACTATGGGTCAAGTTTAATGCGCCACAAGTCTTGATTTTTTCCCAGAGAAGTTGACATATAATAATAAGATGAGATATGTGAATTTGCATGTGCTCAACGCATTCCCTGATCTGATTGCAAACGGGTTTTAGCCCGGTCCATTTGAGGATTGATTGGGTATATTCAGCCCAGGGGCTAAATAAGCTATTGGGATTGGCATATGACAGAGTTTTTTTCTTCTTTTCTTTTCTTTTCTCTCCTTTGTTTGTTCCTCTTTTGGGAGAGGGTGGATGACGGTGCAGAAGATGTTGTCAAGTGGATTGAACTGGATTGGACTGAATTGGATTGGATTGATTGATAGAAAGTCAGAAAGCGATAGTGGAATGATGAATGGTGTGGCCCGGGTGGTCCGTGTGGATTAAACTTGATTAATTGAATGCCCAGGAGCATGTGAAAGTGTAATTCCATCCGTACGTGCATGGAGAGCGTCCCCAGTAGATTAAAAGTTATGTAATCTCTGACCTACCTACTCGTAGTACAACGTTCCTCAATCGGATATTATAAAGGGGAAGGAGGCTACGAGAGAGGTCTTCTCTTCTTCATTACCTAGGTACTCATGGCTTGATGCTGTCTATCTTGCTTGAAACATGCTGAACTTTACCTGAGAGGCAGCCATGTGAAAGAGAAGAGAGAAAGAAGTCATTCTTAAATGTCTTATCTCTTATCGCCCGCTAAAAGTTACCTGTCGAGCCTATCTTTTCGTTTCACCGATACAGCACATATGTAGGATGATCTTGAGCGTGTCAATCTCTCCCTTTCTGATAAAATACCAGATGCAATGACGAAACCCGCTTTACCATACGATATATCATATATCGTATATCAATTATCATATGTCTTATATCAGAAACTCTTTCAAGATACGCCCATGAGATTCGACCTAGATGGAGCTTCTTCTGTATCAAACTTCCATCTCTCTCTTGGAGGACACCAGGTACATCTGCGAGACCTTTGATGTGGTAGGACCAACATGAAATCTAAACCCTACGCGGATCATCTTTAAGACCCAAGGATTGTGTGTGATTTCTACTCCGTAGTAAATGTCATGTACATCGAACCCTTGATCTCCTGCCTATTTGTATCATACGATATACATCAGTGCCAACTAGATATGGCTGGCTATACATGATGATACACCACCCCTTTGTATTTTGTTTCAATATTGTGCATCCTGTACTAATTGAAGCCGAGCTTCGTATCGCTGGATGGAAGGATCCGTCTTACGCATGGCGAAAGTTAACTTGGACCAACTGCGCTCTCAAGTTTTGACATGTGAAGGTGTGCTTACACTACGGGAGAAATATAGATGACTTGAGTCTAGACTGCAGGAATGACTACACACATGCATCACTAGGGAGTTCTTGTATATTTAGTAACCAATAGTACGACTTTTTCTACGTTGATTAGATCCAGAATGAATCAGGTCACCGGCTTTAGACATTCTCTTTAGCCTCTAATGGAATATTCGACGTCGAATCATACAGCTCCTCCGGGTACATATATATTTGTATAGAACAACTAAAAGTGTTGAGAAGAGAGTTGAAGATTCAGCTGGGCCAGCTCTGCATTTGAAAAGGAACTTGTATCTTTGCATCGATACATAGCACTCGCTTTCCCTAACAAAGAGACGGGTTGAAGTTTCTGAACACCTCTTTTCCACAGTCTCTTACGTACTCTCAATCACATCATGCCGCCGAGACCGAATGATTCAATCAATGCATTGCCACGTCTGATATGACTGACACTACAGGTCTCAATTAGCGATTTCGGAAAGCTCTGTTCTCTTATGGTCACCGCCGTGGTGCCGACTTCCTCCAGATTCAGCAACATTATCATCTTGCGATTTTGTGAAATAGACATGCCCTGCTATAACCGGAGTGCTTCATTGCTCTTATATTCTTGCAAGAGTTGCAAACGACTGATCGTATCAATATTCCACCTCGCCTTCAAACTCAACGCGCTCGCTACAATCTACGCATCCTTCTTCATTTTTATCTTTTTTCGTGCTTCCTCATTAGCTGGCATGGATCGTTTTCTTGGAATCTCGTCATTTGCAGCTAGTGTCGGCTCGGCATCCATTTCAAATCCATCTTTGACAGCCGACTCGGTATCCCACTGCTGAGCTGCTACAGAAACGGAATCTCCTACACGGCGGGTAACTTGTGCTCTTCTGCTCGTGGCTCGGAATAAGTATACCGCATGTCTGTTTAGCGCCATATAGTATTCTGACTCTTTTTCTGTCTGGTTTGACAAGCGCTAAGGTCGAGGTTCTCCAGGAACTGCAGCTTGATCAGTATCAAAGTGAATGATGACCCCAAAACGATACATACATAAATGTATCCAAACCCAACTTTCAACCAGCCACGTTTGATTTGGGCATGCGATATCACAAAAATACAGATCATAACTTTCCCCGGGATATCTTTCCTGGTATCTTTCCTGCATCTCTTTCAAGACATTGTTGACTTCTTCATCTGTGTAGCCGTATTGCGAGCTTGTTGCTTTCGCCAGAATCTCATCGTAGATACTTTCATATGATAGTCTCATCATTACTTGGTTGTTTTGCATCCTGGCAACATGCTCAACGTGTAGAGAATTCGAGTTGTGACAAGCGACAGTACTTTGACGTGGAACTTGAAGTTGTGTGGTGTTTTCTTTTCGAAGATAGGAAGCAGTCAAGTGGCAGATGAATGAAAGTGAAATTTTCGAAAGTGAGGAAGCTGAGAATGATTGTCATTCACTGGATGGATTCAACATGAAGTACAGCTCTTATTTTCAACTATGTTGTATGTATCTGGTGCTGTATTGTTCTATCATATCAATCTATGGCCTTGCGATTCAAAGCTTTGAATCCATTCTAGAGATAGGGATCTTGTCTTCGCTCAAAATCGGAACCACACACCTCGTCAAAACATACATAGTGAGTGAGGCAGAGTATCTCGCTATATTACCCTACATCAAATGATCCACTAACACTAAATTGGGCGGCCTTAATAATCCCTCTATTTCATCCTGTTTCCAGCTGCAAGTGGTCGCCAGCGTCGTAAATCACATTACCTTTCAGTTATATCTCATCCCCTCTTTCATATCTTCGCATTTATCCATGTCTTCTATGTATCCACCATTCTAATTTTTATTCATATTGCTTCCCATCTTCCCTACGTTCACGTAAGTTTGGTAAGGTCGCAACGTTCGCAACGTTGTGACCTTTTCGAGATAACATGCATTAAGAGAAAACAGACTACCACTGATTCTCCAAACATAGGCGCCCGTCTAGTCAGGCATAAATGATGATACATGGAAGGTATCAAGCAAACGACTATTAATTCTATAGAATGAGGTTCCAATATGCTCAGGCTTGACGCACAACATCCGTGAGATAGAACTGTAGAAGTATGGTCACTACTATCCATGGGGGTTTTGGTGGATAAGGCGATCGATTTGCGACTTTGGATGCTGGAACATCGTTGGAAGAACCAGTAGAGGTATCAGTAATTCATGTTCCGTTGGACCGTAACGATTCACTCATGACTCGAAACTCGGAAATTTGAATGGCAGCATCCTTCTCGGCAGGACATCCTCTGTATTGATCTGTGGGAATGCAAGAACGCTCTTGTATCTTACCTGGGTATGATGTTATTCGCAGAATTTGTGAAAGTTTCTGTGTCATTTCTTCGCCAAGTCTCGGTTTAATAAGTTGATCAGCTAGATGGTGACTGGTATTTGAAGCTTTGAGTTGCCTTCTGAAGACTGAATCAGCTCGAATGTTCTTAGGTCTTTTCCATTTTGTTTGGTCACTGCAATGTCCACGCTTGAAATTGAGGTAGTCTAAACCTTCTTCTCAACGTAGTCTTTTACCCAGGAGTCTATAAAGCTACAAGTGAACTGTCCCTTTTTCCATATTCACCAAGATCTGTTTTGCAGCTGTGCTTCTCGAACACCTACATAATAGATTGAAATCTCCGGCGTTCTACCATTCAGCGCCTTTCTGAAGAGGAATACTGACATAGCTTTACCCGAGTGCCCACCTCGAGGTTGATGCATAGGTATTCAAATGTTGCTCGTCGGTGCAAGTATATATTTTACTGGTCCTTTTTGGAATCGTTGCTTTTCAACTGTTATATCTTGACAGTATATCGAAAGAGTGATTGAATAAAAGACAAAACGATTGAGCCGCAGATGTGGTCTATAAGACTTGGCGTACGTTTACCTCATATTGTCTTGGCTGTTTTAGAAAGTTGCCCACTGAGGACAAAACTTATACCTGTATAAAGGGGGATAAAAGACCCCTGAAAGGATTGTTCATCTCCAGCTATCAGAGGTATTAGGTGAATACCAACGACCAATTCACTTGTTTGGCCTTACAAGCATAGCCCAGAAATTCGTCATTCCGTGCAGGGCTTATCTCTGAGCCTTTGTATTGACGGATCTATTCAGCGTGAACAAATACAGTACAAGTCTTCACTGAATGAAAGCACCAAACAACTGAGACTCATACCAGCTAGATTTCATTTGTCAAGCGAGGGAATCGTTGTTTCAAAGGGCGAATCAATCTATATGTCGATATGTGTTTCGACAACAAAATGCTAGTAACGAGTCTCTAATGCAGAAACCTTTCCAGAAAAAAAATGAAATCATGTAGAGCGTGCTTCCGCTTTGAATTTGAACTATGATAATACAATCTATCCAGATTAATCTATCTTCCCGGGGTATTATTAAAAGAAATCCTGACTCGACTCCGCTTCTCATTTGCGACTCCTGTTGACATCCCCTTTAGCTTCTCTCTTGCCATTGTCGGTTTCACCCCTCGACTTCTCTGGCTCAACATCAGTATCTGGTGTCATCTCGAAGGTTACTTTCTTCTCCTTTTTCCCACCTTTCTTCCCATTCTCGCATAGTCCCAAAATTGAGCGAATTTTAAAGGCCGCGAGCCAAACACCGTAAACTATGCTTACAATCACCGTGATGAAATCCAAAATATGCACAAACCACCAAATATGCTGAGTACCCAATCCACAATTCGCAAATTCAAATTGCCACTCCCAGCTTTCTCTGTCGAACCATAAACTCAGCAATCCCGCATTTCCAGCAAAATCCCCCATCATACTCCGTACAGTTACTTCACGCAGTCCAGGTATACCTGATTGATTCACTAAATGTTTGGCTTCTGGGTATCTATCGCACCTCCACTCTCTGTCCTCTTCAGGTAAGCTTTGGTTGATGTAGTGATAGATATCACATCCTTCGTGATCGTGGCCGGTTAGAATAATACCATGTCTTCCCATGCCTTGCCCGTCTACATGCGCACTACCGCTCATGCCAAATACACCTTCTAGCATACCTTTGGAGGCATCGCGGGAGAGGTGGTTTTGTTCCTTAACTCCATTCTCGAATTCTCCATCGAAGAAGTCAAAGAACGGTCCATCTACACAGATCCCTTCGTCTTTATATAATGGGATATGAGTGAGGACTAATGTAAAAAGTGCGGATCGCTCAACGGCGTGAGAAGTACTTATCAAGTCATTAAGAAATTGATATGACTCGTCTTGGAGGTCTTTGTCCGACACGGGCGTATCGAGATTCATGTCATTAAGGATCATAATTCTGATTTCAGGAATATCCCTCCCATCTGTCTGAATGCCTGTCGTAGGAATTGAAGAAGCATTATGGTTGGAAGGCAGCTGAAATCGAAGTTCGTAATTCGCTTTCCCAAAAACGCGCTCAAATCGAGCTAGTCGATCCTTTGAGATATCTCCAGCATACCCAACATCATGATTACCTGCCACGTTTATAATCCTCTTCTTCCATGCCGCAGCATCATCTCCCAGCATTATTGTATTCTGAAAGTCGAAAGCGGGCGGCGACATAATCTCATCCGGAATTCGTTCTCCATGTTTGAATACCCGATTCCAATATCTTCGACCACGTTCCTCAAATTCTTCATCATCTATCCATTGACTCCCTACAAGATCTCCAAGTACAGTAACATGTGTAGGGTCCAACCACCAGTGCGTTGCGCGGTAGATATGTCCTAAGTAATAATCATTACCAATGTGGTCAAATCGTTTGCGATAGACTTCGAAAGCCTTGGGAAGATCGTCGAGCCAGAAATCTATTATATCATGGAGGCTGTGTCGCACACGCTGTAGAAGGTTATGTTTCGTGCCGCTGACGATTCCCGAATCTTCAAAGAATTTCTTCAAATTGGGCAAATTGATAGAATCGATATCTCGTATGGATGATTCACCCTCGAGTTGAGGATCCCCCAAAGCCAGGAGTCTGAACGGTGCTACCTTGCTGGGATCATACGAATTTGGAAGCGTGTGTTGACGAAGTGTATTGACGTACGCTTCTGAAGCATCGTATTCAGGAGAAGGAAAAGCGCAACCATGGAATGCAGGGTACAAATAAAGATAAGAGGTGAAAGTCAAGGAGAGAGGCACAAGAAGAAAGAGTGCATAACGCAGCACCGATATTAAAAACATAAAGAAGGTAGCATTTGAGCACAGCACACAAATAATCTAACAGTAGAGACTGAAATAATGTGAGAGAGATATGCAAAGTGGTGGTGGTATAGAAAAGGAGAAAAGCAGAATAGGAGTATATTTTTCAAATATCTCTCTACTTCTCCTTCTTCCGTCCGATGAATTCCATCAAGCCCACGCCGATTTGGCATCTGAACAAATTACTGGCCAGAACCCAAACAAGGGCTGTGAAGGGTCCGAGCTCTGAGAGATCTCTTACGTATCACGTGAACGTAGCAGTAAGATGTCACGAATGTCTCGAGAATGGCGAGAATGGCGAGAATGGGCACTCTTGGATTCTGCCCCGCACAAGAATGGAACATGGAAGAGAATGACCGAATGATCAACGCTAAGCCTCCACGAGGATCCTCTACCCGATGTTAGCACGCCGGCTGAAGCCATCCTTCCGTTTTTCCATATGTTCGGGAAGGGAACTTTGATTGGAAATTCATGCTACGCCTTGGTCTCTCTAACGTGTCTTGGTTACTTTGACTTTACTATCCCCACTACTTTTGGAAAGCTGGTGAAGGCAACAGGATACCAGGGAATAGAGTTGATTGTCGATTGGAGGAGAAGCTTTGTCAAGCATTCATCAAGCATTCACCAAGCATTCGTTAAGCATCATCTGACAGTTGTCGGAATTGATTTTACGACAAACTTTCACTACATCAATTTTAAGGCGTGAGATACACCTACACCTTCCTTCTAGAAAGCTTCTAGCGTCATAGTCAGGGCGATCTTCTCTTCCTGCCATTTCTGCACAGCACATCTCAGCCTCACTACCAAGGTGCAACATCGTTGCATTCCGTTACATACTGACTACCTACGCATGCACAGAACGTTTCCACCTCGTGAATGCGATCAACTAATCCGCCATATATATGGTAGGTGAATTTCCTTGTCCACTCCTTACATCCATCTTTCCTTTACCAACTTCATTTTACACAATTATCATAACAAATCATTAAGTTGCAACTGCTACGGTATATGCTAGAAGTCCGCATCTAAAACACAATATTTCTTTCCTCCGATGGAATAGAGGTACATCCATTACATTATGCCTTTTCTCAATAAATTAATCCATAAGGGAGACCAAGAAAAGTCTCCCGAGAAAGACGTCCCTTCCGCTCATGTCGAGCACCCACCTTCACCATTGTCTCCTAGTTCCTCAACCATAATAAACGAAGAACCGCCAGGTTACACAGCTACCGATGGTCCCGCCGAATCAGATCTGACTGCTGCCTTTTCCAATCTCAATATCTCGGAATCAAGTATTCCTGCTTTTCCAAATGAAGATCTATGTCTTGCACACCTCAAGTTGTTAAAGACTTTTCATAGTCTCAAAGAAGATGTCGGCTATACCGATGGATTGTTTGGTCTATGGGATGCACGTTGCGAACTTCCGGTCGTCGAGAACCGTGACAAAGCATTAGTAGCGATGCGAGAAAAGAGATGGTCTCTGTATATTGCAAGAGCGGTAGAGAGATTTGAGGATTGGTGGTTGAAGGTGTTGTGCGAGCAAGAGTATGCCACTAGGTTGCAGCAAAAGGACATGAAGACTTACAGGGACTTCATCAATTTTCCGGAGAAGGGTGTGGCTAAGGTTTGGAGCACGTCAATGTTGCCCCCAATAGGTGTGTTCTATATTTCAAAATTTACACTCATGCAAAGTATGTCCTAACATTGAGACAAGATGTTCTCATGGTATGGCATTCATTGATGCTCAACCCTCGAAACTACCTGGAAGATTGTATGCGTTTTGGTTTGAAAGATTTGTGGGCAACAGGCATGCCCTGGCATGCTGTTGATACAGCTATTGATACCAGCTTCAATTATCAAGTAACAGAAGCAGCCAAAGAAAGATTCACGAATGCCACAGGGCATCATTGGAGCAATGCCAATGATCATGCAGCAAAGACACTAAATTGCCCGCGGTGTTCTCAGGTATTGGAAATTCCATGGACTACATTCGCTGCAAATGAAAAGCCATCACTGAAAGAGTATGAAATTCGTTCTAGTCTGTTGGGAATTGTTGCTAATATCAATAGAATTATGGACATGAATGGTACAGGTTATGGTGATCGAGGTTTATCACACATTTGCCACAAATGCGGTGGTCAAATCAATCACGATCTATTGCGAGTTGCCAAGTTTAAGAAAGAGGTCGAAGATCTGATCATGAAAGACTATCCTCTAGGGGGTACAATTCTATCTCCGAGTACTGGCATTCCGGATGCACGAGATCCAAAATCTGGTTCCTTGCACCAAAATGCATTCCCCAATCGTATGATTACTATTGAGCTGAAGGTAAAAATGCTAGAACTAATTGATAAAAACCCTAAAAAAAAGCCCGCTATGACTGATGTTAGGGATATTATCGAGAAAACATTCAGAAGTAAATCAGCCCTAAAGAAAATCAATAGTGGGAGGAGCACTTTGCTACGAGCGGAGTGCCTTTCAGTTCGAAAGATGATGTCGAGATATTGGCAAAATTCTTCAATATTCGCGCTTGAACTTGGAGGTGCTGTGATTCGTCAGAGTGTGTTTGTCGATAAAATGGCAAGTCTTGACTGGCTTCATTCCCCGGTTGCTCGAGAGACGATGGGTCGATTACTTACAAAGTATGAAAGATTCATTGAAATCATGCGTCTCCATCCAAAAGAGGTTTGTGTTCCAACCTTGGATGTTGATTTGGCATGGCATACTCATCAACTATCGCCAAAACAATACTACGAGTATACGTTCTCAAAATGCCTGAAATTCATCGACCATGATGATAAGATGGAAGAAGATGCTCTCTCTACTGCCTTCGAATGGACAAGTAAGACCTATGAGAGACTCTATAGGCAAGTGTATTCTGAATGCACTTGTTGGTATTGCGAGGGTAATGTCTGTCCTCTCTGCACCCAGTGCATGCTAATATTTTCCAGCCATTCGTTCCAAGCATATTGATTCGTCAAGCCGTGTATTCGGAACCTCTAAGCACGAAAAAGTTCTGGACACTTTCTATACATCTGGAGCAGCAAGACAAGTAAGTGAACTGATAAGGAACTCACTAGTTTCTTTATTTTTACTGCCTGCTTTTATTCTTCGATTATAGATTCCACTTAGTAATACCCACCCCATATACTGCTTTTATTTTCACATGTAGCATTGATACCTCGTCTCGTTTCAGTTTAATTCTTGATAAGCAATACTGACCCCAATTCTTACAGTGTGACCCCAACAATAGCGCACACATCAGCGCGCACTCCGCTGTTCGAGTCGAAGAGTCCGAGACCCATGCTTCAGTCTTCGATAGACTTAGCCAAAGAAATAAATCCGAAATGAATCGCGCCTACGACAAAGCTCGTCAAAGAGCTGAACAGAAGGGAAGAACTATCCCTCCTAGAGATGATTATTATTACACGGCTTGGGGTTATCCATATATGATGTATGGACCGTACATGAGTCCGATGTACGTCGGTGCTCCGACTTACTATGCAGGGGATCCGTGCGTGATGCCTGTTGGTGTGGGTATGGCCGGAGCTTGTGCAGCAGGATCTTGTGGAGGTACTGTTGCAGCTGGTGGATGTGGCGGCGCTGGTGGATGTGGTGGAGGAGGTGGAGGAGGTGGTGTAGGTGGTGCAGTAGGAGGAGTTGGCGGCAGTTGTGGAGGAGGTGGAGGAGGCGGGGGTTGCGGTGGAGGGGGTGGTGGTTGTGGCGGTGGCGGTGGGGGGTGTTAAACACCATTTTTCTACTCGGCGATGAATTGAAATGGGACGAAATGCGCTTATGATGTCATGACGGGTTTGGCTTTGGGATATGAACTACTCTTATATTGTTATCCTCTTAACCTCGCTTCCTTATACAATCCTTGTTTTCCTCTCTATTTTTTTATTAGTTCAGACTTAGTAATTTTGTTAAGATAGCTACATATGAAAGCACTCATTAGTACATTCAATGAATACTATAAATCTCGGATATTACGACAGGACAAAAGCGATCTAATCCAACAAAAACGTAGACTATACATGTCAAACCCTATAGCCGAAAGAGAAGTATATCGCTGTACATTAATTGGAATTTTCTACTCTTGAAAGATTGACTTCTAATCTTCAAATGTCTTTATTTTGAAAGTCTTATTATTAGCTTTGAAATGAATTGATTAATACTAAAAATCTTGAAACAAATGAGCAAACATAGACATCATTGAGATTAGATTTGATATTCAGAGCATTTTTTTCTTCGATATACGATTCGCATCTATTATCTCATGATAATATCCTTCAGATCAGTATATTAACTCATATGAATTTGTAAAGTAGAATCTTTAGAATTATATCTATAGTTCAAATGGTTTTGTTAGAATTGGGGTTATTATTGAGGAAAATACTAAAATTGCGGAGAGAAATTTCATTATATTTTAATATTAGAAGAGATACTAATTATTAAATGGGCGACGTAGCTTCCGATGTATAGAATCTTTAGTTACTAATTGAAAAAGGCAATCCTATATTTCAAGTAATTATATGATCTTATGTATCCTAGGAATAGTTTTATTATAATCGATTCGATTTTTTTTAAAATTGATGTTCAAACATAGTTATTCATTTTATATAATAAGATATTTTTAGGATTTGAATGATTGGGTTTTCTGAAAAGTTACTGGAATTGGAGTTCTAGGTGAAAATTAGAATCAAAATCAAGTATCATAGTTTGAAGTTATTGATTTTATATGTTTAAAGTATGATCTTTAATATTATATAATTACTTGAGATTATACGATTGATTTTATTAACTAGAAACCGAAGATTCTATATACCAAGAGCTATGTCTACTATCTAATCATCAGTTATGAAAGAAGATTAATTTTCAAATTATAAATTTATAAAAAGTTCTTTTTTTCTTAATCATTACTATACTAATTATAAAATCCTTAAAATTCATAATTTTTAAATTCTTCTCCTCTAGCTATTAGTACTATTAAATATTATATATAGAGAGTTCGATATAAGAATTTCTATTATATTTGTAACAAATTAGAACGTAAGAATTCTGAAATCTACTTACTATATATTTACTATTCTTTCAGCTAAAACCTTCAATCCTTCGGTTTTATACTCTCTATTTGATTACTATACTTTTATAAAAAGATTATAGAAAAAGATATAAAATAATTTGAATTCATTTAGATTGTATAAATATAAGATTATAAATTTTTTACAAATTCGCTAATCTTGTATAAAACAAGCATTTCAGAAAAAAGGATTTCCTAATGATATATAATACATAATGTAAATTATTCATTATTGAATTTTCGGAATAAAATAATATTAATTAAATATTTCTTTCTTTCTTTAACTTGTATGGAAACATTTGATTTTTGTAGGTATTATATAATAAAACTATATAGTATGCGATGAATAGGTTCTAGAACTCTTACATGAGGGTCAGCCCTTAAATCCTCGATTCTCATTACGCTCGATATATAAGCGTTATTTTCTCATCATCGTATATCTATTGTTATATGATTCTTATTATCATTCTCATTACTGTTCTTGATATTATTCTTATTATTTAAAGTCTTAAGCGTTTTGAGATTATACTCTATATGTCAACCTAAGTATAATAAATTTCATATAGATTTTTGAAAAACAAAGAACTCAGCCTGGATTGAACAATAATCTTAATAAATGCATTTAATAATTATATATTTATACATTGGCTACATAAATTTCTTTAAGCTAGTTAGCTTTTAGCTATAGATGATAATCTAGATTAAGAGTATAAAGTAAACTAATATATAGTAAGCAAAATAATAGATTTTAGTTTTAGAGGCCTTGAAGAATTTATTAAATCTTGAAAATCTTTAAAATGTTCTAATTTGGTCTTTTTTTTTAAAGCTTCTAAACATTTCCAAGATTTCTTTAAATCGTAATAATTTTCATTTATTTATAATCTTTTAGTTTTTACTTTTAATAATAGTGATAAGATCTTTGTTTAGATTGAAAACGAAATGAAAAGGATAATATAGTAAAAACAATATAGTTTTTATTGATATTGGAAAGCTTGCTAAGAGTATTAAATATGTTAACAGATTAAAATGATTGATATAGGTAACTTTATTATATATAGCTTTTAATAAAATACAAATGATACTTGATATAAATTGTTAGTCTTTTTTAATGTGTTTTTTGTATCTATTGGAATCTAATATTAAGGCTTAAATCTTACAATCATATAAGGAATGAGAAATTATAACAAACTCAAATCTTGAACATAGATCGTAGAAGATAGATCTACTTTTATAAAAGGAAATTTAATAGTTTCTATAGATATACTCTTTATATTATTTAGAATAAACCTCTGATATTTGATATCTCATAAAATCAAAACAAGATTTCTATGATTTTATATAAAAGATAAAACATCAAATTGATTTAGTTGAAGCTAGATTAGATACTTTATTTTCTGATTGCTCCTATCTTTAATCATTTTTTTTACCTCAAAAAAGGCTTTCAAAAATTATATCCTAAACCTTTTTATCTATGAAGATAATATAATAAAAACTTGTATATGAGTGATTAAGATTGTTTTGAGTTTGTTTTAATGTTCTTGAATTGTTATATGATTTTGATAAAAATTTGACTTTTTTTTTAAAAAAAACTTTTAATATAAGTCTTCAAAAAGAAATTTGTTAAAAGTTAATAATCATTTCATTTTTAAAGCTTCTAAAATTGAATTTGTATCAAAGTCTCGAGAACGAGTATAGAATAATTAAAACTATAGACATAGACTTTTTATAGGAATTAATAACTTATATAATTTTTGTATAAGTAGTTTAATAAAACATTACTTATAATTAATTAAGAACATATCTGTAATCTGTTGTAAAAAATATAGAATAATAAAATAATAAAAGATTACTTTTCTTAATGAGTCTTTTAAATAAATTGATGAGTGTTTTGATTAAATTTTATATTCGTATATAAACTATATAAAAGAAGTAATATTTTCAGCCTTATAATCTCATTTCAGAGAAATCTTAAAATCACAAATTTCTAATCTATTATTGATATTGATTTCACAATTAATGAATCTTAATTTTAATTCTTCAAATAAAATTTCTATATTGACAGAAATATGTATAAATCAAAAAAGCGAGTTTGGTTTTAAAAGAGTAGTGTAATATGGGGGTAATCAGAGATTGGAATACTTGACTTTAATTTAATAATAGATTTTATTGAAAAACTAGAAAGGAAAAAGAATAAAAATTTTTAATATAAATACTAAAACCTTTTTTTTATAATCATAAAAAAAGCAAAAAATTAATTATATCAATTTATCAAAAATATTTGAATCTTAGAATATAGAATAATAAGTTTTATCTTGGCTCTTGATAGTTAAGAGTAATAAAAAATCTATTTATAATCTCTATAGTTATTTTTACTATTGGTCAGGATTTATAGATAAATCTATATTGTGAAGCTTTTGAAATTTCAAAATTTGAAAGAGTTTTGTGATTCGAATATAAACTATTTGAAATAGTAATACTTTATATATTGGTTTTAACAGAGTAAATCTGATATTAAGATTTAATAGTTCTTTAATGAATGCAATTTAAAAGTTTATAAATCTAATAATAATATAACAGTGCATATACCTCAGTTACGTCTCATCTTCAGTTTGAATAGAAGTGCTGAAAGCACTATTGAAGTTTAGAACTCTAATGAAGTTCATAAATCTATTAAATCTATTAAATCTATTAAATCTATTAAATCTATTAAATAACATCATTATATATAGTAATAGGAGTAAATTCATAAACGATTCAGTCTATCTAGTTATAATAAGACTATACAATGCGTCTATCTGATTCTAATTACAGTACTATATATAAAGTTCATGCGAAAGATCTTTTTACACCAAAACTAATTTTACTCGAAATATAACAGAAGATTAATTTTCCTTTATATTAATATAAATGCTTTAATATCAACAAACATTCAGATAAAAATTTAAAAGAAAAATACATTGAAATATTCTTTTTTTTTTGATTAAATTTTGAATTCAAAATTTCTAAAAAAACTACGATTATCCCTTATTTATGATATAAGAATTGATTCAGAGAAATTATTAAACTTTGATCTCATGTATAAATTCATTAAAACGAAAATAAAGTCAATTTATTCTAGTTCCAACAATATGAAATTTATTGAGAATTATTAAATATATCAAGATCAGCAATAAACAATCGAAACTAAGATTTTGACATATTTATTTTTGATATAATCAAAAATAATACGTTTTGAAACAGCTTTCAAAATTAAAAAAATAGGGTTTTTTAATAATTTGAACAATTATCTACGCGAGCAACATATTTGAAAGATATCTATTGGAATTATAACTTATGATAATTTATTAAAAACTATTAAGTTTATTCATAGAATTCATTTCGCGTGAATTTTATTGAGGTTATTGTATATGAGATAGATAGGAAAAGGAATGAAATAACCCCTATTTTTCTTTAGGGCTCTCTGTGTCTACTATTATATAGATCTTTTTGTATACTATCTATCCTCAAAACCCTTATAATTGGTTTACATTTGTTCTCTTATTTCCGCAACTTCTTATTTTCTTATTTAATTTTGCTATATACATCAAATTCTATAATTAATAATACAGTAAAAACCCCGAATGTTATTATTTCATATATTAATACCTCAACTAGTATGTAATAGGA